GGAGGCTGAAGTAAGAGGATCTCTTTAGCCTGGAGGTTGAAGCTACAGTGAGCCGCAATCATGCTCCTGCAGTCAAACCTGGGTGACAGACTCTGTCTCAAAAAAAATTTTTTGTATATTGATCTTGTGCCCTCCAACCTCACTAAACTCATTTATAATATCAGTGCTAATTTTTTTTAGGAAATTCCTTAGGATTTTCAATATACAAGATCATGTCATCTGCATCATAGACATAGTTTTACTCCTTCCTTTTCAATTTGGTTGTCTTTTATTACATTGTCTTGCTCAACTGGCCTGGCATAGAACCTCTCCTACAATGTTAATTAGAAGTGATGAGAGTGGACATCCTTGTCTTGTTCCTGAACTTAGGGAAAAAAACATTCAGTCTTTCACCATTAAGTATGGTGTCAGCTGTGGGTTTTTCACAGATCAGGCTGAAGGAGTTTCCCTCTATTCCTAGTTTACTGAGCGTTTTATCATGAAGATGTGCTAGATATTGTCAAATGCTTTTTCTGTATCTACTGACATGATTATGTGTTTTTTTTGTTCTTTATTCTATTAATATGGCATATTATTTTCTATTTTTTTACATTTACCGGTTTTTATAAAAGATCCATATTAATTGATTTTTGAATGCTAAACCAATCCTGTATTCTAGGGATAAATTGCCACTTAGTCATGATATGTAAGATATATAATCCGTTCTATATGTTGCTGGATTTGACTTGCTAATCTTTTGTTAAAGAGAGAGAGAGAGAGAGAGAGAGAGAGAGAGAGAGTGTGTGTGTGTGTTTTCCAGAGACAGGGTCTTGCTCTGTCATCCACGCTGGAGTGCAGTGGTGGTGTGATCCCAAATCATTGCTGTCTCAAACTCCTGGGCTCAAAGAATCCTGCCACCGAGTCTCCCAAGTAGTCTCCTAGGACTACAGGTATGTACCACTGCCCAGCTAATTTTTTAATTTTTAATTTTTTTGGAGAGACAGTGTCTTGCTATATTGCCCAGGCTGGTCTCAAACTCCTAAGCTCAAGCAATCCTTTTGCCTTAGCCTCCCAAAATGCTGGGATTATAGGCATGAGCCACCATATCCAGACTTGTTGACAATTTTTATGTCTGTATTCATAAGAAATATTGATGTACAGGTTTTTTTTTTTTATTGTGATGTCTTTGATTTGGTTATCAGGGTAACACTGGCCTAAAAGAATGAGCTGGGAAGTACTTCTCACTCCAATAATGGAAGTATAATCCATTATTGAAAGTGGGTATTAAAGTCTCTAACTATTACTATTCAATTGTCTATTTTCAGCTAATTTTCTATTTTTTGGAAGAATTTATGAAAGGATTGTGCTAATTCTTCTTTAAACTTTTGGCAGAATTAACTAGTATAGCCATCTAGCTCTGGGCTTTTCTATGTGGGAATTTATTATTATTATTATTATTATTATTATTTTTGGAGACGGAGTTTCGCTCGTTACCCAGGCTGGAGTGCAATGGCGCGATCTCGGCTCACTGCAACCTCCGCCTCCTGGGTTCAAGCAATTCTCCTGCCTCAGCCTCACGAGTAGCTGGGATTACAGGCACGCACCACCATGCCCAGCTAATGTTTTGTAGTTTTAGTAGAGATGGGGTTTCACCACGTTGACCAGGATGGTCTCGATCTCTTGACCTCGTGATCCACCCGCCTCGGCCTCCCAAAGTGCTGGGATTACAGGCTTGAGCCATCGTGCCTGGCCGGAATTTATTATTTATTAATTCAATTTCTTTACTGGTTATAGATTTATTCAGATTATTTCTTCTTTTATTTCCAGTATTTGTATATTTCTAGGAAATTTTTCATTTTATCTTGGCTATCTAATTTGTTGGTATGAACTTAATGCTTTTTATTTCTGTGAGGTCAGTATTAACATCCCCTTTCATTCATAATTTTAATTATCTGGGTCTTCTCTCTTGTTTTTGCCAGTCTAGCTAATCTTTTCAAAGAATCAATTTTTGGTTTTATTGATTTTCTTCATCGTTTTTCTATTCTCTATTTCATTAATTTTGCTCTAATTCAATTATTTCTTTCCTTCTGCTAGTTTTTGGTTTAGTTTGCTCATCTTCTTCTGTGTCGTAAGGTAGAATGGTAGATTATTGACTTGACATTTTTCATCTTTTTAAATATACTCTTCTACGTGTAATATAGTCTTGCTATAAATTTCCTTCTAAGTAGATTTTTTATCTGTATCTAGTAAGTTTTGGTAAGTTGTGTCTTCATTTTCATTTATCATGAAGTATTTCCTAATTTCTCTTATGATTTCTTCTAGGACCCATTGGTTATTTTTAAATGTGTTTTTAAATTTTCATATATTTCTTAACTTCCCAAGTTGTTTCTGTTTCTTTTACTTCAAAGCCTTTATGGTCAGATGGCGTACTTTGTATGATTTCAATCCCTTTAAATTTATTGAGGCTTGAAGTATGACCTAGCCTATGATCTATCCTGGAGAAAGTTCCATGTACACTTCAGAAGAATGTATATTCTGTTCTTGGGTGGAGTTTTCTATAAATGTTTGTTAGGTCTATTTAGTTGCTACTGTCAATCAAATTTTCTGTTTCCTTGTGAATCTTCTGTTTAGTTATTCTAGTCATTATTGAAAGTCAAGTACTAAAGTCTCACTTTCAATAATGCTCCACTATCTATTTTTCCCTTTAATTTTGTCTATTTTTGCTTCATATATTGTGGACCTCTGTTATTAGGTGTTTATAACTGTTAAATATTTATGATGAATTGACCATCTTATTATTATAAAATTCCCTTTTTATCTTTAGTAACATGTTTTTGTTTTAAAGTCTATACTGCCTGATGTCAATATAACCACTCCAGCTTCTTACAATGACTGTTTACATGATATATGCTTTCCACTCACTTACTTTTAAACTTTGTATTTTTTAAATCTAAAGTGTGCCCATATAGATAACATATGGTTGGATCTTGTTTTATTATCCAGTCTAAAATCACACTCAGATACTATTACTTACCAACTAGGATGGCTAAAATGTAAAGGACTAATGTCAATTATGATAGTAAATGGAATAAAAAGTCCTCTGATCACATACTGATATCAAGTGTGTAAATTGTTATGACCACTTTGCAAAAGTGTTTTGACATTATCCACTAAAGATAAAGATACATAGCTGGGCGCATGGCTCATACCTGTAATCCCAGCACTTTGGGATCCAGAGGCAGGGAGATCACGAGGTCAGGAGCTCGAGACCAGCCTGACCAACGTGGTGAAACCCCATCTCTGCTAAAAGTACAAAATTACAAGATGTAGTGGTGTCCACCTGTAATCCCAGCCACTCAGGAGGCTGAAGCAGGAGAATCGCTTGAACCCAGGAGGTGGAAGTTGCTGTGAGCTGAGATCACGCCCCTGCATTGCAGCCTGGGTGACAGAGCGAGACACTGTCTCAAAAAAGATGAAGAGATATATATATATACACATTCATGCCTGAAAAATTCCATTCCTATGTATAGACATAGCAATTACATGTACACCAAGAGTTGCATTATTCATAACAGCCAAAAACCGGAAATAATCCAAATGTACATGAACAGAATAGACAATAAACTGTGGTAAAATCATATACTGAACAACAAATATCAATGAAAATATAAGCAAATTAATTTACACACAACATTGGTACATGTCAAAAACATAATGTTGAGCAAAAGGAGTCTCATACAAAGGAATTCCATTGATATAAATCAAAGATATGGCAGGTGTGGTGGCTCACACCTATAATCCCAGCACTTTGGGAGGCCAAGGTGGGCAGATCATGCGGTAAAGAGATCGAGACATCCTGGCCAATATGGTGAAACCCCATCTCTACTAAAAATATAAAAATTAGCTGGGCATGGTGATGTGCACCTGTAGTCCCAGCTACTTGGGAGGCTGAGGCAGGAGAATCACTTGAACCCAGGAGGTGGAGGCTGCAGTGAGCCAAGATCACACCACTGCACTCCAGCCTGGCAACAGAGCGAGATACCACCTAAAAAAAAAAAAAAAAAAGAAAAGAAAACAACCCACAAAGATATTGAAACAAAACTAAAGTAGGGTGCTGAGGAATAAATACATAAATTGTAAAAAAAGAAAGAAAATGTGATATACAGTATCATAGTGTTCTAGTTCTTGATTCAGCTGGTGTTACAAAGATGTTTGTTCCATGGTATCTGACTGGTACTTTTTCTTTTTATTCACCTTTCTAGATGTATTACGACACAATAAAAAGGTCTCTTTTTTAAAAAAAAAGAAAAAGAAAAAGAAAAACAGGGTGGGCACGGTGGCTCATGCCTGTAATTCCAACACTTTGGGAAGCCAAGGCAGGTGGATCACCTGAGATCAGGAGTTCAAGACCAGCCTGATCTATATGATGAAACCTTTCTCTACTAAAAATATTAGCTGGGTGTGGTGGCATGTGCCTATAATCCCAGCTACTTGGGAGGCTGAGACAGGAGAATCGCTTGAACCTAGGAGGTGGAGGTTGCAGTGAGCCGAGATCATGCCACTGCACTCCAGCCTGGGAAACAGAGAGCGAGACTCCATCTCAAAAAAAAAAAAAAAAAAAAAAAAAAAAACAAAA